TGTGGCTGCCCGCCTCGGAGCTCCTCCGTCGGCTGCGCGCGCACTACCGCGGCGAGGGCGGGGCGTTGCACTTCGGCACCCCGGATGAGCCCCCCGTGGCGGATTTTTTCGCCGCCCTCGACGCCCACACGGCCGCGCGAACGGATCTTGCCAACGCGCAATACGCGCTCGATCGCGCCGCGCATTTCGTGCGGAGCGCGCAGAAACGCCTGCTCGCGGGGTTTCGCGATCGAACGCCGGGGGAGACCGGGGTGCTGGGGCTGCTTTTCGGTGAAAGTCATGCCGCCCTGCAGCGGGCGACGGAGGAACTCCACGCGGCGAAACGCCGTCGACGCGAGGCCGCCGCGATGCTCAACGGCGCCTGCCAGATCACCTGGATGTGGGTGTGGCTGCGAAATCAGGCGTTTTTCGCGAAAAACGAAAAATTTGCGGCGACGCTGCAGGGGTTGCTCACCTGCGAGGTTCGCGACGACGACGGGGCTCGATGGGAGGAGGAGACGGAGGCCGCACTCACCCGGCTGCTCGGCATCCCCCTCATGCAAACCCTCCAACCCGCGTTGAAGGCGGGGCTTCATAACGGCCATTTGAAGAAATGCCTTTCCGCGGTTTTCGATGGGATCGAGAAAGGGACGTTGGAGCGAAAGGATGAGCGGAAGACGGACGGGGGTGCAACGGAGTCAGGGGCACCGTGAACGTCCTAGCCTTTTGCTCCACTTCTCTTGCTATCGTATGTCTTCCCCCATTGTATTTAGTGCTGGGTTTTGCTTACTGCTTTTCCTAGAGGGTGTGCATCCAAGAGGGAAAATAAACTCCCTCTAAAACCCCCAAAAACAGATTAGTTTTGAGTGAAATGATAATAAGAATAAGACGATTTGGCGGCAACTCGTTACTGGTTCTATTTCTTCCTTTTATCGCTTGTTTGGGGCTGAATATCTTAAAAAATACTTAGTGCTCATAAAACGAAATCATAATAATAGCAATTGCTGCTACATCAACAGATATTTCTAATCCTTTTCAAGGGCGTCCCTTAGCCTCTTTTGGTCTACATGAATGGTCCCCCCGGATCGGTACTTGTAACCCACTCCAACCCCCCCAAACGTGGCGGTAACCATGCCCTGGCCGTCGATCCGGTGAGCCGTCGGGGCCTCAAAAAGGGTGAAAATCAGCCCCTTTTGTGTGCGATCCATAAACAACTCCACGCCAACGCCCCCTTTCCGTATGTTTCCATTTCCGACGTCTTTCAAACCCTCCAATCAGGCGGGAAAGGGGCGGTTGCTTCTCGCGTTTTTGCTCAGCACCCCACCCCCCTTCCTTTCCCCTGCGGTCTCGCCAATCACGCCAATTTTTGTTTCATCAACGCCATCCTGCAGGTGCTGCTTTTCATGCCGCCTTTCGCGCAACTTTGCCTTTCCGCGATTGGTGAAGAAAAGGGCTGCCCGACGCTTGCGATGCTAGGGAAGTGGATGGCGGATTACTGGAAAAAAAACGGAGGGAGGGGCGCGTTGCCGCCTCCACGGCTGCCGTTCACGAGAAGCGGCCCCTCTGGTCGCACGCTTGACGGCGCCGCGCAGGAGGACGCGCAGGAATTTCTCCAGCGCTTTTTGGAGGAGATCCAGACGGAGTTAATCGGGTTAGAAAGGCGCTTTGCAAAAGAAAAAGGGGAGGCCCCCACCCCCTCACCTGCAAACGCGAAAAAAGCGGAGGGAGAGGAGGGCAGCGGGCGGGGGTGGACGGTCGTGAAGGGCGGGGAGCAGCTCTTCATTCGCCGGCATGTCGATAAGGAAGGGAATTCGCGCCTGCTGGACGCGATCTTCGGCGGAACGTTAGAGAGTCATCTAAAAGGAAAGCACCGGCAGCAGAATCACGCCTTGGTAACGGTGGAGCGCTTCTTTTCCCTCCCCGTGGATGTCGGATTCGCGATGGAGTGCAGCATCGAGGAGGCTCTGGAGCGGACGCTGCGAACGGAGCGCATCTACGACAGTGTGCGGGGTAAGGATCTGAAAAAAACCCTCCTCTTTGACGAGCTCCCGCAGATTTTACTGCTTCATTTGCGGCGGTGGGTCGTCACCGCGGAGGGCGAGCTCGTGAAGTTGGAGAACACGGTGCGTTTCAAGCGAACCCTCACGATCCCGTCGTCGCTATGTGGAGGCAGCCAACCAAATCGCCACGCGCGAGCGTATCGTCTGCTTTCCGTCGTCGCCCATCGCGGGATGGCGACGACGCGAGGGCATTACGTTACCTTTTTAGTCTCCCACGCGGCGGATCCTTTTCACGTCACGCCGAATCCGGAGGTCCCTCGGAATGGCGTCAAAAAAGGCAAATCGCGCGATACCCCCGAGGGCGCTCCAAGCGAGGCGAAGCTTCGGCATCCACCTAATGATAATCACGTTTTGCTTTGTAATGATATGAAGATTAGTCTTTCGACTTGGTCAGAGATGGAGAGGGAATGTGTGTACTTTCTCGTCTATCAAAAAAAGGAGAGTTAAAGGAACAAAAAGAACGATAAAACAAAGACGACTGAGGGGGTTATATATATATATATATATGTATATATATCAACGAAAATGATCCGTGGATGTGGTGATTTGTACTTTCCTCCGCTTCCCGACTATATCTTTTCTCTCCATTTGTTTTATTCTTTCATCTCCTTCAGTTTGACAACCCACACCCCGGGCTACCCATTTTAAAATACTTCATTGCGCATAACTGTGTGGTACCCCTAGCTAGCCGCCGTTGCTCAACGAAAGGACGACTTCTGAACACTCCCCCTACGCACCCGGTACAAAAAAAAAAAAAAATCAGATTAATAAATGGGCGAAATAAACTCCACGGTGGTGCCGCTTCAACGCTATATTCCGTTAACCCCCTCCCATGAGGAGAAGATCGACGCCCTGCTCAAACGAATCGAAGCGGAATTGCCCCCTCCAATCCCTTTTTTGAAACTCGCGGTGGAATGCAACCCGAGCGACGACGACGCCCCCACCCCAAAGCATCCCGTGCGGGTTTTTGCCTACATGTATTTGCTCTCTCGCGGGTGGGATGTGGAGCGGGCCTTTGCGATGGCCAAGGCCGTCTACGACTACCGCAAAACGAATCATCTCGACGAGGTGGCGCTTTTTCCTCCCGCCTTTTCCCTTCGCGGGTGGGATCTCGAGGCGATGCGGGTCTTTTTCCACCACCCCCCTCGCCCCCAACCGTCCAGGGTGGATCGCCTGTTTGCCGGGATCGGCGCGCATTTCAGCGCGGGGCTGCATTACTGGGATAAATCCGGCCTCCCGGTGCTTTATCTGATGATCGGCCGCGTGGATGTGCGCGGGCTGCTTAAACGGCTGAATGAGATGGCGAACATCGGGCAAAGCGCGGCGGATGTATTTTGGGAGCACATCCAACACATCGCCGGCGTCGGGGAGCTGCTGCTGCTTTATCAGCAACATTTATGGAATTCCAGGGAGCTCCAAAAAGACGGCGTCGACGCGAGCGAGGGGCTCATTCGGTCGGCCACCGTCGTCGTCGACGCGCGGGGGCTTCGATACGCGATGCTGTGGAAACCCGCGTTGGATTTATTTAAAGAGTTAGTTACACGGATGTTTCAATATTACCCCAACTGTATGCATCGCGTCCTCGTGATCAACTGCCCGACAATCATTCTGCTAGCGTACAACCTCGTGAAAGGCATCTTCGATAAGGAATTTCGCAAAAAAATCAGTTTGCTCTACCCAAAGGATAGCCTGGCGGCGCTGGAGCAGCTCATTGACAAGAAGCATATTCCCCACTTCCTCGGCGGAGAGTGCCGCTGTGAAGGCACTTGCATCGAGGGGTATTTCCCGAAGAATTGCAAGTCGGCCAGTAGCTCCATCGAAAGTAATGACGAGGATGCGTCGACGGAGAACATTACCATTTCCGCGGGAACTATTCATGAAAGGTCCATTCCTCTTAAAAAAGGTGAAAGTGTCATGTGGGAGTTCGCCATAAAAGATGGGAAGGAAATCCATTTCAGCAGTTTTTTCATACCATCCTTCGAACATGAGATAAGCGAAGTGAAAAAAAAATCCACTAAAAGTGATATTTTCACGCGCCACGGCGAGGCGAAATTGGCAAATTACTTAATAGCAAAGACCAGCCCTACTCAAGGCGCCGAATCCTACTTCGCGACTGACGATGGTGTGCTACTTCTGGTTTGGGATAACAAAAAGTCATGGTTTTCATCAAGAAAATTACAGATGAGGGTATTTAAGCGTAATGAAAACGAAAATACTATGAGTAGCTCATTTTTACAGCATAGCTTACTCTCCTCTTCTGCTGAGTGTTTGTAAGCCAACCGCTGCTCCTGACATGAAAGCATTTGTCGTTTGTGGATGTCAACGCTCTGTTCTCAACCAATCATTAAATTACATCATAGATATTATTAATTATAATAATAATACCTGGGGAGAAAGTCAATTTAAGAGGGGCATTCTATGTATTCCATCTTAATAAAAATATTTATTGAAAAAAATTATAAATAAAAATCCTCAAGTTAAATTTTCAACCCCAGAGAGTATGGATATATTGGTGTCCATCTTTTTATTGAACTTTGAATGTTTTACAATACATTACTCATTGATCTGGCCTGATCTTATGTCAACGTGCATTTTTTCATTGTCTCATTCGTTTATTGTGCTGCTACTTCAAAAGTTTGCTGTAGGTTAACGGTTCACAGCCAGCTTTGGGGTACTGTATTGTATACTGGATTGGATCTAAAATGCATGATACCTGTTACATTATAACATACACTCATCTTTTTGACGCATTGTTACATATTTAATTGTATTATTTTTTTTTAGAAAAACTTAGGACCGATCTCTGGCAACGTGTGGAGAATGCGTCCTTGTAGGTGCCTTGTATTTACTGTTACCAATTATCTATTTGTACACATCTCACTCTCTTATATCAAAAACAAGCAGAAGCTAATGCTAAAGTACTAGGTTAATGAATCTCAACCATAACGTCGTTAATTCTGCATTAGTGACAGACTTAATATGGAAGGAGGAGCTACCACATGTCTTGAAGGAATTTTCGCTATCTACTTCTCTTAGGGAGTGTTACTGCGAGCAATGTGAGGTTTGAATACCAGTTAATTTACTTTTACGTTGATTGAGGAGCCCCGTGTCGTGTTTTTTTTCTGTAAACAATATCTTGCATATTATAGCCACTATAGATTTGAACCTATTGCGTCTTTTATCCACAAAATGCATCTACATATGCTTATGGATAGAACCAAATCAGGGGGAGATCGTCCGTTTGTGGACGCATCCTTGACTGCATTTAGGATGCAATGGATCCAATCCATTTCCCTGGTTAACTTTTTTTATCTCCCTGTTGTAGTGGGCAATGCTCAATCCGTGTGATTTTGATTTCCTTCTTTTTTTGTTTGTTTTGAGGCATTACTTTTACGTTTTATTTAGTATATATATATATATATATACTAATATATATATAAATATATATATACATAGTAAGGGTGAGCGGAGTCTGGCGTTGCTCAGATATCATCACCCATCGATCGTTCATCCGGGGCGCCGTTTATCCGGGCTGTTCCCGTATTAGCCGAGGACGTCATGTTCTACAAACTGATTTTACAGCGCAACATCGTCGTCGCGCCGCAGGACCTCGGGCGGACGCTCTATCGTCGTCTTATCCACTTCCTCCGCGAGGCCGTGGAAGGGCGGCCGCTGCCCGCCCCCGATAGCATTGCCAGCATCTCCGTCGATTACCACTCCGCGCAAAAAGCCTCCGCCGTCGTCGTCGCCGTCCTCGACGTCCTCCACGCAAATGCCCTCCAAGGGAAGGTGTTGGATAACGGCTCCGTTTCCTTTCGCATCACCTACGCCGCGATCGTATTGAAACTCCACCGTGGTGAGGTCCTCGATCTCATCGTCAGCCGCGTGGGCGTGGATGGGTGTTGGGGGGATGCGTGCGGGGTGGGGAAAGTTTTCGTCAGCCACGCGCAGATGTCGTCCGACCCCGCGTGGAGTGAATGGAGCTACGAATACGACGGCGGGGAGGGGTTTTGGATGAGCGCCGATCACACGCGCAGCATCCGCGTGAACGATCTGATTCGGGTTCGCGTGATCGCGGAGACGCCGCAATCCCACGACGCCATCGCGATCGCGACGATGGCAGGGCCTTTCCTTGGACCGTTGTAAAGGGGGAGGGGGGGGGTTAGGTCCTTCATGTGAAGGGAGGCGTTGAGGCCGCATCGTGGTATAATGAAGCGCACCCTTAGTGATCTTGGGATATAAAGAAAATGTTCGAATGAGTGGGGTAAATAAGGTCTAGTGCAGTGGGAGGGATGAGGGGAGAAAGAAACAGCGTGCTAGGCGAAGAATGGATCTCCAAGGCCAATCCTGTGAACGATCCTAACTGTTCGATGCACGCATGACGGTAGGTCAGTTCGATTAGATAAAGGTTGTATTTTAAAAAAAAATTCTTCGTGAAGAACTACCGTTCTTCTTTCTGTTATTGAGTCATATCAATTTTTTTATGCTCCCCTTATGCTTAAATGCTTCTACCTTTCAATTGATTTGATTTTTGGTTTTATGGATAAAGTTAGTCGCAACTGGAAAAAATAAAGTAGCTTTTCTTTGTATAGCTTCGTTTTAGTGTGTTTTTCACCACAAAAATAGGCAGAACAAAGATAGATAAATCAAGAAAAGGTACTAGCATTTTTATTTCAGAAGCGAATCAGAGGAGTACACAGGCAAATAGGAATAAGGCAAATTTCTGTGGAACCTTCTTCATTAAAGGGTTCTTGAGTGTTGTGGGTGGGTGTTTACTGTTGACGGTGTCAGTACACGTACAACCTCAAAGTTGTCAGTATAGTCCAAGAAAGATTCCTAAATTTAGTGCTTTATAGGGAAGGCTGTAAACAAAAAAACACATCGCGAGGGTATTGATCTTAAGCTAGGAAAAGATATTTAGGAGTAAAAACAACACTTTTTTTCTTTTAAAACCTTCATATTCACTATCCTGTGTGTGGAGGAAAAGGGACTGAAAAATTGACCCTCTCTTCCAGAGGTTTCATCCCTGTATGACTACTCCCCTTTTGGTACGAAGTAGTTGCGTCAATTAAACTATCCTCTTTAATTGCCGCGCCTCAAACGGTCTTCATCGTGAGGACCCATCTCATCGGCACAAATCTGTTGCCATTCTTTACGGTAAAGGTATGCTGAAAGGCAGGACTGTCTAGTGCCGACTTCAATCACCAAAGAATGTTTTTTGTCGATATGAATGTGAATCCAGATCCCGTTAACCATGGGGGTTCCGAGTTCATGAGTTCCAACATCCTCCCCTTCTTTGAAGATGATGAGGATAACACCGATCTACCTTGCGAACACCATGACGCGGTCTATAAGACAATAATGAAAACTGTGGCGAATATGGAGCCTTTCTGCGATGAGGATGTTGACAACGATGAGGATGAAGGAAACGCGCAAACCGGTTATCGCGTTCAACCGGATTTCCCCGCCGAGCCCGTGGCGAGAGGGCATTTAGGTTATTATGAGGGCCCCACCCACCGGACCCCGGAAGGGGCGTCAGATATGTGTAATGGGATCAAACGCGTCCGGGCGGCGGACTTGGAAGGTCCGGAAAGCGAGGTCGGCCGCGGTGGGGAGCGGGGATCCCGCGTTTTCCGCGTTCTGTTGAGCCCGAAACTAAAGTCGGAGTTGATGGTGGCGTCCAACTACGCGGCGCATAAGGTGTACCCGACGCCGATTGTGGAGAATGAGATGGCCTTCATTCGAATCATGCAATCCACCCTCTTTCATGGCAACAGCCTCACGCGCGATGAATGGCCGCATAAGATGCTCTTTTCTGGCGCCGCCTTTGCGCAGGAAGAGGTCCCCAGCGACGCGGCGAATCATCTGGTGGGGCTTTGCCATCTCGTCTTACCCTTCGCGGTGGTCGTGCACCACGATGATGAGGACTTGGGGGTGTTGATGCCGCTTTACGACTTCAGCCTCAAGGGATATCTGCTCAGTCGCTCCTCGGAGGGGACGCCGCGGCGGAGTATTTGTGAATCCTTCCCTTCTTGCCTTGGGAGGGAAAAAGGAGAAGGGGGGGAGGGGTTCGGTGAGGGCCCTCGAGATCCCTTGGAGGCGCCGTCGTCTTTTCGGTCCGAGCTCTCCTACGATCCGGTAGGGTCGATTGAGGTGATCACTGCGATCGCCTTCCAGATCCTGCAATCCATCGTGATGCTGAACCACGGGATGGGGCACGTCGTGAACGACGTCCGCTACCACGGCTTCACCCATAACGACCTCTACACCGGGAATATCCTGCTCTCTCGCGAGGGGCGGGTCGCGTTGTGCGATTTCGAGCTCGTCAGCCACAGCCCCCCTTCTCCGGGCAACCTCCGAACCCAACGCCGGCGGCTTCCGCCGTACTCGCGGCAATCCCCCCACGGCGTCTTCTGCGCGACCTCCGACACCTGGGCTTTCGGGCTCCTCCTGGTGAGCCTCCTCACCGGGGTGGACCCCCTCCTCTCGAGCGAGGCCCTCACCGACGACTTCGGCCCGGGGCCGCTGCTCATGCGGCACGACTCCCCTCTCGTGGGAACCGGGGCGAGGGTGGTGGATTGGCGCGCGAATATCGCCACCCACGTCCGACGGCTGCTCTTTCAAATCGACCCTTCAGGGGAGCGCTCGCGGCGGGCGGAGCCGCTCCTTGGGGTTTGCGCGCGGTGCCTCGTGAATCGCGTGTCCGCGCAGCCCGCGCTGGCGATTGATTTGATCGCCGATCCCGCCTTTGTGGCGTACCGGGAGACCCCGGAAAAGGCGGAGGAGGTGGTGCGTCGGTGGGTGAATGAGTGCTGCTGAGGGGTGGCGCGAACGTTAAGCCCAGACTTACGGGGGCGTAAAAGTGGTGCTGGTGAGGGATTCGCCACCTCTTTTTTTCTTTTTTTTACGGTGGCGGTGAGAAGGGATGGTACTACATGAGATGACCTTTTTATTTTTGGACTAGGTATATGCTCTTGCTTTTAAAAACTTCTTCTGTGCTCTGCTTTCACCCCCCGCGCGCGGCGGGAATCGACACATCCCTGCATTAGTAAGGGGAGGGAAATAGTTGGGATTAACCCTGAATTAGAAGACGTTGAAAAGTCTCGTTTTGTGGCGGTATACATTTAATCTGTAGTTCTGGAAGTGGTGTGGAGCACCCTGGATGTTTGGTCAAGGTGATGTATTCTTTTCTCTTATATTCCCTTTTATGGATCCATCTAAGGTTGTGCTATGGATACGATGAGCTTTTGCTTACATGCTCAATTGGGGTGGATGAATACCTCAATACAAAGTGTTTAAGATGGCTCTTATGTACTACTACTTTCCCACTCCGTAAATCAAAAAAAAAGAAAAATATTGAATAATTCAATAGTAAAACGATAATGATAACAACCCTTAGTTTGATATGGTATACATCTTTTCCTCTTTACTTCCATCTATTTATGTCTATATCCAAAAGGTATATACACACATATATATATATGCTTAGGCTAACTATACATATATATATATATATATATATATAGCGAAATTAAACTAATAGACGATACAACTTCACTGTGGCAATGAGGTGGACTCGTTTTTTGTACGCGAATCGAACGCGAGTGCTTTTCGGTTCAGCCAAACCAGACGCGACGCAATCACAGACCCTCAAAGACAAGGTGCAAGAGAAGATTGATCAAGAGGCCGCCGCGTTCGCCAAGGTCGCACCCTACCCTCATCGCTCGCTTACCCGCCCGGTTCTTGGTCTGACGTTGGATCAGATACGTGGCGCCCTCTTTACCTCGAACCTAAACAACTTGACCAGAATCGCCATCAATCTCAACTGCCTTTCTCTTTCCGCGCCAAAGATCCACTGGGATGCGGCGGTGTTGATCATCCGCAACAACCTCGAAGAGAAGGAGTTTGATGTGTGGGTGAACCCTGAGGTGCCCGGCTACAACGACCGTCGTTCCGTCGCGCCGATGTACGGGATGTGGGAGAATTGCATCTCCTGTGGTCTAAGCCACGCCTGGGTGGTGCGCCCGCAGCGGATCACCTGCAAAGGCTTTGATGTCGTGGGAAATGAAAAGGAGGAGGTCCTGGACGGCATGCGGGCACGATGTTTGATGCATGAGTTGGATCATCTTAACGGGAAGACGATTTTCCATCAGGCGATGGGGCCGGAGTTTGTGGTGAGTGGGAGCGCCTTAGGGCAACGGGATTTGTGGCCGCCCAACTTCCCCTCCGCTGAGGCCTACGTGACGCCGACGCACGTCTTTTTCGACTACGTTACGAACACCACCGTCATTCCTAAAGGCTTAGAGTGGTGGTTTGATCAGCAATCTTACTCCCAGCACTTTAGTAACGAACGCCTGACGGGGTGATGGGGCCGTGTGCAAACTTTTCGCCAGGAGTAATAGGTAGGGGTGTAGGTTAACTCGATGTGCTCACACACCACGGCGATTATGGTCTACTTTTCACATCACCTTTTTACAGTTCTTCGCTGCAAGATACTTTTCACATCTGGTGCAGGTAATATATATATATATATATAATATTTATGCCATGATACTCCTTCATGGGTAGCTGCGCGCTCACAAGAGGTGCCTCATTATTCCTTAATGGACAGGGAATTCTAGGTACGTGAGTTTCGCTTTCCATTACTACCAGTTTCCTTATTGTTTACTCTTGTGGAGTTTTAATCACTTCATCTCCCCTTCCCTCCCGACACACACGCATATACACAAAAGGAAGTCGATATCATCATAGTGATTACCCAAGTCGGTAGAGCTAGGAAGGGGGTCAGTGAAGTGAGGTCGCTTTTACGGGCGTCATTATATCTTACCTCCACGTACCATGGGTTCTAGTGAGAGTCGTGCATTGAAAGAGGCACTTGATTTTATTGCGGAGGGGGAATGCGCGGAAGTGGCGTGTTCTCCACCCCCGGACACCTCCTCGGACATTGGGGATGTCAACGAAACCAGTGTGCTCCTGCCACTCCCTGAGGCCCCTCTTTCCCTGCAGTTATTGCAACCCCGACGCCGTTGCCTGCGTCTTGTGGTGCAAGGGGCGACCTTGGATCCGCCACAAACTCAGCTGAAGCCGCTGATTCAGGCGCAATCCCCTCTCTCCACCGCTAATGAGGCGAGGCTTTATGAAAAAACTCAGCCCTCGACGACGCTTCACACGCGTGCGATGTCCTCCACGGGCCCCGCCGCGCCGCGTTCGCCTCCTCCTTTGCGGCTGCCGAAAACCGCCTACGACGCGAGCGTTCATCTCGTGCATGAGCGCTCTTCCTTCGTGCGCACGCTCCACATCCGCCCTCCCCCGAATTATCGTTTCACCGTCTACGTTCATATCTACGAGCTTACCTCCGGGATGTTGGCGAAGCACGGGCGGAAGCTCCTGGGGTTGGAAACCTCCGGCGCGTACCACTCCGCGCTGGTGTGTTACGGGATGGAATTCTACTTTGAAGGGGGCATCGCGATCGCCGGGGCGGGGCGGACGCGGGTGGGAACGAACTACAAAGCCGTCCGCCTCGGCAGCACCGCGGTGAGTTTTCACGATTTCCTTCGCTGGGTCCGCGCGCGGGAGCGGGATACCTATCAACTCCACGACTACAACATCAAACTCCACAATTGTCATCATTTCACCCGCAAGGCGGCGGAGTTCTTGCTGGCGGAGCGGGATGCCCTCCCGCGGTATCTTTTCACCACCACGAAGGAGCTTTTCCGGACGAAAAAAGGCGCCGCGCTGTGCGAGGCCATGACGGTCGCCATCCGCGGCGCGCAGTACCTCACCGCGCGGCAGCAACTCCAGCGGGTGGCGGAGTTGCAGGCCGGGGTGGGTCGGCTGCTCCGCGGCCTCGTCGCCGGCGGGGTGCCCCGGCAGCCGCCCAAAGCGGTCGTGGTCTTCCACGTCGACGACGAGGCGACCTGTCGGGAGACGCTCGACGGGCTTCAGCCCTACCTCGAGCAGCTCATCGACGCCAAACGGGTCCGGCCGATCGCGAGGGATTGGCTCGCGGGCCTGACGCTCGAGCTCGCGCGGGGCTTCGACTCGGTCGACGCCAACGCCGCCCAGGCGTTCGTCGACGTCGTGAACGAGGCGTTGCTGCGGAATCCGCTGACGCTGTGGGGGCCGCCGTTGAACGCGCTCCGCGTCGCGCTTCTTCACCACATGGTCCTCTCAACGGTGGTCTTTCACCCTCACTTGCTTTCCGTGCTCGTCTTCGGCTCGCGGGAGTTTCTTCGCCTTTTGCCCGACGGCAAACTCAACCTCCTGCGAGTGATCGCCAACCTCGCGTGCGGCAGCCACGGGGCGATCCTCCTGAGCGATCCGCACTTCCTGAACACGTGGGTTTCGCTCGTGGGGATGGGGCTGATGGAGCCGCACCCCGCGATCGTCTACGCGGCCGCCTGCCTGGCCGTGAATATCGCGGTGAGTGAGGCGGTGTGGATCATGCCCGCGATGAACAGCAACCTTCCCGGCTCTATCGGGCGAAACCGGGCCCTCGCCCTCGCCACGATCGCTCTCTACAATGTATCGCATCGCACGGAAAAGGAATTGCCGGAGCCGAGTTTTAACATGTTGCTCACTTGTTTGCTCTGGTTCATGACGAGCAGTACTTCAGTATTGAAGTTCGTCATGCGGCATCCTTTCCACCCTTTCTATACCGATCTCCATCAACGCGCGCAGACGGCCGAGTCTCGCGCCTTAGTAACCATAATGGAACAAATGGAAGCCATGTAAAAGTGAAAACTGGTAGGAAAGGGTTTGTTGTTCTTGTTTGCAATCAAAGTCGTCTTTTTTTCTCCCTATAAGAAATTTTGGGAGGCTGATCGCTAATGAGCGAACTAGATTCTATATTCTTAATTCAAACGAAAAGTTTTCTTTAGCCGTTATGCGTGTGTGGGGGGATGCTTCAGATTTTGACTCTTGAACTATTCCTAATAGTAAGATAATAGCTGGGGAGTGAACTGGCATGTACCATTTACACAATACCTTCATTCTGTTGCCATACATATACGTAATGTATGTATTTATATTTATATTCATATACTAATCTTTTAAACATAGTATTTAAAAAGAAAATTCTTCTTGCGAGTTGCTTTCCAATAAAATCTCTCGTTATGTATATGTAAAGAGAGAGAGAGAAACAAAAGGACTTCTTATACATATCGCGATCTAACATCTGAACTTTTCTCTTTATAATTCTCATAAATCTGACGCCTCCGAGTTCTGCGTAAAGTTTTTCAAAAAAAAAAAAGAACATAGAAAAAAACGACAGAAAGAAAGCAAACATGCTCCACGCGGCCGTTCACCCCAGTCTTCCTGCGAGTGGCGTCACGCATACCGTCTCCGGGCTCTTCTCGCGAGGCCTCCCCCATTCCCAACGGGAGGTCGTCGTGGTTTGTGGGAATCACGTCGTGCTTTACCGCGCGGATGCCCTCGACGCCACCACACCGTTGCGCTTCGTGATGGAGTTCGATCTCTACGCCCCGCCGTTTTCCGTCGCGACCTGTCGCCCCCCGGGCGCCGCGGTCGACGCCATCGCGATGCTTTTCGACGACTTTCACGTTTCGTTTATTCAGTTCAACCCCCTTCTTCGCCGCTTCGATACCGTGGCGTTGGTGCAGCTCGATGATCGGAGCCTCACGATGGAGCGCTGCGGGTTGCCGCCGATTCTGCGCGTCGATCCGACGGGCGCCTTCGTCGCCGTCCTGACCAAACGCCGCGAGCTCTTCGTCTTTCCGCTGCTCAAAAAAGGCGCGCCGGACGACGGCGCGGGGCCCGGCGACGCGGCGGCCGATGGCCCCCCTTCGCAGCCCCCTCCTTCCACGACGATCCCGAACGCATCCGAAACGACGAAAAAGGTGGTCAAGGTCGCCTTGGACGCCTGGGGGGATGACGAGGACGAGGACGAGACGGAAGGCGAAGGAGGCGAAGCGGAAGCGGAAGGGCAGGCGGCGGCCGAGGCCGGGCCGCCGAAGGCGCCGAATGCGACCCCCCACGACGCCCCTCCCCTGTCGGCGGCGGGCGTCTCAGGGGTGCTTTCCGTCGGGGCGATC